TGCGACTCTGAATCCCTCAGATCAGCAACCTGGGTGCTGCGGCCATTGAGAAAATGGAGGCGCAGACCAACGAGCTGTGCTGCGACCAAGAGACCTCGGCTGGCGAAATGGCGGTGCCGGGAGCCTGCGAGTGACGCCAGCCGGCGGGGTTGTCAAGGACAAGATTCGCGCTGTCACCAAGAAACCATCGATTCTGAGAAGAGAGGTTCGGCCACCGAGAAACTCCGTACGACAAGTGCTGAGACAGAAAAATCGCCGACTCCGCGCCACTGGCAAAAGAGCCAATGGAAACCCCAGGTGCTGCGACCGTGATACCGGCACTAGAGGGTCTTGAATGGAGAAAGCGGCGCACGGAGACCAGGAAACTATACCTAGCACAATCAGCAGAAAACTGGTCGGCCATCCGGGAGAAAGCGCGGATCAGAAGCAGGTGACTTCGGTGCAGGGAACCGCGCAGCCACTGAAGAACTTGACCTACGTGGCAGTGGTGCCAGCGAAACACCGCAGTTTGGATGGAAGCTGTGGGGATGCCACAGAGAAACATACACTGCCACTGAAGTACATCCAGCTCCGCGGAACTAGTGGTTATACGATCAAGAAACCGCCAGTTGGGCTCTACTAGAAACTTTTAGTCCTCTCATAACAGCTCTCCTATCCACAACAGACAAATGCCTTTACCCCGCACATAGTGGTGCTGAGACCTGCCTGGGCCAGCACAGAGCGCAGAGCAGTGCAGGTGCCGAGAAACTCCGGACTCAGTGAAACCAACCTTGCTGCCAGCGGATTCCCCGGCTTCGCTGGACGCTACCGGCGAAAGAGTGCCGCAGGGAAACCTCTGGCTCCATACACCGATTAGATTGTGGGGCGGGGGACACTCACGTACTTGTTGGGGAGAGGACCAGCGGCGCTGGGATCCTGCAAGCACTTGCCCGCAGCAAATGCCTGTGCTGTTGCAAAAAACAACTTTTGGTGCAAAGAATGTTGACGCCGCTGGAGAGCGTCCGCTGTCGCCGACAAAGGAGTAGCAATGGCAGTGAGAAGCCGCTGGCGCCACGGCCGACCGCGGCGGCTAACGCCTGTAATCATTGCAGTTTGGGAGGCCGAGGTGGGAGGCATCACTTGAGGTCAGGAGACTAGCCTGGCCAACAAGGTGAAACCCTATCTCACTGAAATACAAAAGATTAGCCGGCGTGATGGCAGGCACCTGTAATCCCAGCTACTCCAGAGGCTGAGGCAGAAGAATCCAGGAGGATTGAATCCAGGAGGCAGAGGTTGCAGTGAGCCAAGATCGCGCCACTGCACTCAAGCCTGGGAGACAGAGTGAGCTCCGTCTCAAAAAAAAAAAAAGAAAGAACGAAAGAAAGAAACCGCTGGCACCGGGAAAGGAGCGGTGCAGCGATGGACCCACTGTGCTTTCCGTGCTACCAAAGTCCTGCGGCCTCTACCCACTCTAGATTCCCAAGGCTGTTTTCTCGGGCTTGTATTTTTCTTTCTCTCTTTCTTTCTTTCTTTCTTCTTTCATTTCTTTCTCTTTCCTTTTTTTCTTCTTTCTTTTCTTTTCTTTCCTTTCCTTTCCTTTTCTTTACTTTCTCGTGCTCTGTTGCCCAGGCTGCTGCAGTGGCGTGATCACGACTCAGTGCGGCCTGGCCTTCTTGGGGTCCAGCTATCCTCCCGCCTCAGCCGGTGGAGCAGCTGGGACCACAGGTGCGCGACACCACACCCGACTAATTTTTTGTAGTTTTCGTAGAGACAGGGTCTCGTTTTGTTGCCTAGTCTGTTCTCGAACTCCTGAGCTCAAGCAATCCGCCCGCCAGGGCCTCCCAAAGTGCTAGAATCACAGGCGTGAGTCTCCGTTCTGGGTGGGAAGTCTGTATTGTTCCTGCATTCAACTCAGTGCATAGTGCCTGAGAAGAGGAGGCGGTTTAGGGGCCCAGAACCAAGCGGATGGGGCTGGTTCCAGGAACAAAGTAAAATCCATTCTGATCGCCAACAGCTTCCTGCGCAGGAAACAGCCCTTCCAACCTCCGTGGCGGCGGGAATTTCCCAGGCCACCCCTCGGTCCCAGAGTCTCCTCCCAGTCCAGAGCTCTCAGGATCCTACAGGAGGGGCGGACAACTGCTTCCCTTCCAAACTGGAAACTCGGCCTAGCGTTTTTTGACCGCGCCTTCAGGCCTGACCCCCGACTCTCTCGGTCCCGTACCTCTCCTGCGGGATGTAATTCTGTGGGAACCACTCGTTTATTCTGATGATTAACTGTCAGATATCCTTGATATTTGGGGATTGTCGATGGAAGAGAGTAGGAGAGAAAAATGGACTGCAAGACTCCAGCGCAGGAAGTGGCATTGATGGCAGAGGTCCGCTCCCTCTCCAAGGCCAATGAATATCTCAAACTGCTGTCCACTTTCCTATATCCTTGATCTGTGGAATGGATCACTGACGTTTTCTCTCTCTTTCGGAAAATGCAAAGCAGGCGAATATTCAAGCGCTTGAATTCTCTGTTTCCCACTTTTCAGTCAGAGTGCAGCTAAAAATTCCTTTCCCATGGGAAATATGGAACTGCCTCTGCCCGGAAGAAAAACGTCCCTTTCCTCTAAGCTTTCACATTTCCCCAAAAATCTACACATCCCATGAAATCCTCACGAGAGACCTACAGACCCTACCGGGAGCGTTCCCGCATCATCTCCCAACCTCACCCAGAAGATACCATGCAACCAATTCCATCCTTTTCTAGATGAACCTGGGCAGAGGACAGGTCCAGAGGAGCATAGAAAAGGGCCTTTACAGGTCAGGAGACCCAATTTGAAGTCGCAATTCTCATCCACTCCTAAGGCATTTGCCTTGGTCTTCCCCTCCCACTATACTACTTCTGCTAGCTGGTTTCTCCCTGGTATTTGAGGATCCTCCAATTGCCTCCTAGTCTTAGGGACGGGAGAATAAAGGAAAAATGGCATCGTTTCCACCTAAAAAGTTACAAGCACTTCACCAGAAGTAACAGCCCAGGCAGAGCCTTTGTAAAAGAAAAGCCCCACCCACTGCTTCGCACTCCTCATTTCCCGCCAGCAGAGCATTTTAGTGGAAAAGCTGAGCGGGAGCCATAGTTCACTCCAGTAATCCCAGCACTTTGGGAGGCCCAGGCGGGAGGATCACTTTAACCCAGGGGTTCAGGACCACCCGAAGCACATAGCAAGACCCTGCCACTACAAAAAAATTTTTAAAATTAACCAGATGTGGTCGCGGGTTCCTGTAGCCCCAGCTACCCGGGAGGCTGTGGTGGGAGGATCTCTTGAGCCCAGGAGGTCCAGGCTGCAGTGAAAGATGATCCTTGACGGCACCACTGCACTCCAGCCTGGGTGACAGAGTGAGACTTTGTCTCAAAAAATAAAATGAAATAAAAATAAAGCCAGGATTAGGAACTCTTTAAGAAGGGGTCACCAGAGACATTATTACCTACACCATTAACAGGGGAAAATGCTGCAAATTAAAGTATCATAATGGTAGGAGGCCACCCCTGTAAAAATACATACCTGTTTCAGAGACACTAAAGTGAGAAAAATATTAACCCTAGAATTGATTAAATTCAGGTATCCACTCCTTTATTTTAAAACTTAAGTGCCTTTACCTCTTAGAAATTGCATGGAGATTGGAGTTGTGATTTTTTAATATTTATTTATTTAGAGACAGGGTCTGGCTCTGTTGCCCGGGCTGGAGTGCAGTGGTACCATCTCAGCTCACTGCAACCTCTGCCTCCTGGGTTCAAACTATTCTGATGCCTCAGCCTCCCAAGTAGCTGGGATTACAGGCACCAGCCACAACGGCCAGCAATTTTTTTGTATTTTTAGTAGAGAGGGGGTTTTGCCATTTTGGCCAGTCTGGTCTTGAACTACTGGGTTCTATATGATCATATTTGTTTTTTCACAATGTAGTTCAATACATTGAAATGGTTGGGCAAGTGGCAAAATAATGTTCCTCACTCCTCTGGTTTTTTATAAGGTGCAATTTATCATAAATACTTTCAGCTTCTTGCCTCATCTTTTACTTCTCCTCACATATTGAGTGGTTCATGGCACAAAAATCATTATTTGTGAGACACTGTGCCAACTGTATTTTGTGCTTTATCGGATTTCATTCTCAACTGAAAACTGCGGTAAGCGCATGCTTTGTACTGGGCTTGCTTCTCAGTTCCATTTTATAGATGCACAGCCTCACTTAGGGAAGTTTGAGTTTGTATAGCTCTGCCTGTGGCTGAATAGATAAATGTAATTTTACCATTCAGTGTGAAATCAACTTTTAGTGTGAATTTAAGGCCCGTCTTCTAATATAGGGGTGTGTGTGTGTGTGAGATTTTACTGTGTCTCTTCTCCCTAATACTCCAGTTCAAGATACCAACCTAAATTTTGAGTTGATTATTCTGGACACACTCCCTCAAAATACGACTGTAAGAGACCAGAATACACCACCCCAATATGCCAATATATCAATATACCTCTGGCATATTGATTATTTCAGGCCGAGCATGGTGGCTCACACCTGTAATCTTAGTGCTTTGAGAGGCCAGGAGTTCATGAGCAGCCTGGGCAGGTAGAGAGACCCATCTCTACAGAAATATTTTTAAAAGATTAGCTGGGCATGGTGGCATGTGCCTGTAGTCTTAGCTACTGGGGAGGCTAAGGCAAGAGGATGACTTGAGCCCAGGAGTTTGAAGTTACAGTGAGCTATGATTGCACCACTGCATTCCAGCCTGGGTGACAGAGTAAGACGCTGTCTCTTAAAAAACAAGACAAAACACTCACGCCTGTAATCCCAGCACATTGAGAGGCCAAGGTGGGCAGATCACTTGAGGTCAGGAGTTCGAGACCAGCCTGACCAACATGGTGAAACCCCGTTTCCACTAAAAATACAAAAATGAGCCAGGCATGGTGGCACGCAGCTGTAATCTCAGCTACTTGAGAGGCTGAGGTGGGAGAGTTGCTTAAACCCAGGAGGTAGATGTTACAGTGAGCCAAGATCGTACCACTGCACACCAGGCTGGGCAACAGAGCGATACTCCATTTCAAACAAAACAAAACAAAACGAGGTAAGAGAAAAACCTCAACCTGTACACCTCTTTATGACAGAACAACACAGAAAGAGAAAGACAAAGAAAAGACTACTCTAGGAGGAAATGGATGAAACAATATGATTCATACCACAAAGTACCAGAAAGTACACCAGAGTCAATACACCAGCACTGGTCACACAAATCCTTTTCTCCCATCAGTCAAGATTTTGGACAGGAAAAATGAACAAAGAGTGATATTTACTGTCTACTTGACCACATTCCACAGAGAGGGGCCTGGAATCTGACTGATAAGAAATTCTTATCCTTAGGCTGGCTGATCAGCTCCTGGTTTTCCTTAACTGTGGACTTCCAAAAGAGCCAAACTTTGGGTTCCTGATTACAACATCAAATTTCTAGGGGCCAAGGGAAATCTTTCTCTTAGCACTCTGAAAGTTTGTTGTAAAATCAACTCACAAAAACAGAAGATTAACAGGGGAAAACACATACAAAATGTATGATTGCCCAACCCCCCAGTGAGGTGCAGGAGCTTATATACCAGCTTGAGGTTACAGAAAGAAGTGGATCATGGCAGAACTGGTTATAGGACGGAGAGAAGATGAGGTCTGCTAGCAATGGTAGTCTTGTTATGTACATGAAATCTCACAGATAGCATCCCTCAGAGAATTGTTTCCTTAAGACCTTTAAATGTGTCAGGCTCTCATTAATCCTTCCTACATCTGGAAAAGAGAAGGCCTGTATATATCAAGGCAGATTTTCTACAGATGCAAATTTTTCCCACACACAATGGCATTGCAAGGCTACTTCTTTTGCTGCCTCTGACAGCCATCTTAAAATATGTCAAAGAAATATATTTTGGGGTAAGACATTTTTATTTCTTTCAAAGTGGAATATTAAGTGTATATCTCTTATAGATATGCTATTAAATAAATAAGGGAATCCACTTTTTCTATTTTCTATTTGTTAAGATATTTTTTGTTTTAATAATGAAGAGAGGTTAACTTTTAAAAAGGTTTTCTACATCTACTGATACTATCATGCAGTTTTATTTATTTTTACAGTTAATGCGGTGAATAATATTGACTGATTTTCAAATGTGAGTTCCTGGAGTAAATCCTACTATATCATGATGTGCTTTTAAAATATATATATTGCTGGATTCAGTATGCTAATACACTAATAATTTTTAACATCTGTGATCATGAGAGACATTGGCTGACCAAAAATGGGAAACTGACAAGAGTAATAAACAAAATGGGCTTATAAATATTCATACCTGCTTGATACTTAAAAAGGCCTTTTAATGTATTTTTCTGCCCCACTCAGGCGGACTTTTAAATATCTGGCAAGAGGTCTCATTCAGGCTATTCAAAGGTCAATATTAATCTGAATTATTCCACGTTTGTAGGCATCCTCATTATCTTTTCAATACAGATTGAATTATTGGGGATTCAAACGGCAGAGGAAAAAGTCAAAGCATATAAGGTAAGCAGAACAGCATATTTTTTTGGTCTGGCTTCCCCAGGCAGCATTAGCTAAAGTGAAAACTTATATGAGACTTTTTAATTTAAAAAAAAAATTTTTTTTTTGAGAAAGTGGAAGTTAGGAGAGGAAGTGGAACAGAAAGGAATAAGGGGCAATTCAATGCTCTGATACCTCACTGGCCCATATGGGATATCATGCAAGGCCACAGGCAAATTTACCATGCAGATAAGAAAGTTTAGCTTTTAGGAGTCCTTCGAACAGGTCTGTAATTTTGTACTAGAATTTTTTATTCTTTTTTTTTTTTGAGTTGGAGTCTCACTCTGTTGCCCAGGCTGGAGTGCAGTGGCGTGATTCTGACTCACTGAAACCTCCACCTCCCAGATTCGAGTGATTCTTGTCCCTCGGCCTCCCAGTAGCTGGGATTACAGGTGCCCACCACCACGCCCGGCTAATTTTTGTATTTTTAGTAGAGACAGAGTTTTGCCATGTTGGTCAGGCTGGTTTTGAACTCCTGACCTCAAGTGATCCACCTGCCTTGGACTCCCAAAGTGCTGGGATTACAGGCGTGAGCCACTGCACCCAACCATCTTTTTTAAAAAGTGAATCCTCTACTACTTGTGTGAACATTAGGTTCTAGGAACTGAACCCACCCTGAACACAACTGTTTGCTTGATCACATGGAACCAACTTCTGGGAAGCCCTATCTATGACTGCTTCTAAGAATAATCCATTTAGAAGGAAAGAAAGGAGAATAATATATCCACTGTGGAAGAAATAAAACAATCCTGACAACAAAAAGGCCCCTGAGTACCCAATAGAGAGAGAACACTAATATTGAGTTAGCCTTAACAGATTTACATGCATGTAAGGTAGCATGACAACAGCTACAAAGCTGGGCCATATCTCTTATGTTTTACGCAAAGCCTTGGGAATTATGAGAACTTCTTTTGCTGCTTCAAAAGAAAAAAGGCACACCTTGTGACAGTTTCCTGTATACTGAGAGACCCTCAGCTCATCTTGCAGGTGCTTTTTTAAAATATCTGGATGTTATTTTCCTATAGTCTTGGGAAAATTCTTGAGATCAGGCTTAATCCCTAGAGATATTATATTTCCACTGGTAGAACAAGGATTTAGAGTTACCCTGTTGAATGTAATATCACTGTTTTATTTCTTTTATGGTTTTTAGGAACAGAAACAGCACACTCAGACATGAAAAACTGTCCTGGCTTAAAGGGTTCCTTTCCTCTCAGGTGAGTAAGAAATGTCACTTCCTGACAGGACCAGGAACATCAGGATATCTGGAGGACCTTAAGAAAAGGAGAATTCATCAAATTTCTAGGTATTGCAGGCAAAGTATGATAGCAAGATCCTGGTTTGGTTTCCTAGCATCTGGACACTTTTAAAAGTCTAATTTGAGATTCCTTATGAAAATGTCCAGGTAAGCCAACTTAAAGAGAGCCTATGTGGTAAATCAGTATTCCTGCTGCACTTGTGTAAATAATTAGGCCAAGTTTAAAGAGACAAAATTTATTTTGCAAACAAATTAGTCTTATTAATACCTAGATGGTGTTTGATAGAAATGGAATAAGTGTAGAGAGAAAGAGTGCACAGTGCTAGGTGGTGATAACACAGAGGTGTGGGGTTTCCCAGTGGGAAACCAGATTACCCAGATAAAGACTTGCTGAGCCTCCCTTCATGCTGACTAATTACTTAAATTATGTAAACTACACGTCCTTACCTATGGTATGGACAAAATAATGGCACCTAACCAAATGGGATAGTATAAATAAAACTCTTCGTAGAGTAGCTATCATCTAGTATTTTTTCCATAAACAATACCTAGTGTAATTTTTTAAAGTGACTAGCATTAAAATTCTTTTATTACTTTTAAATTATTCCTAAACATTTTTACTACCAAAATAATACATATTACTTTAAAAATGAAATGAGACAGTAAGGCATAAAGTGAAATCAGAACTTATACCTTCCTTTTCCCAACCTACCAAATGATAAGTTACTACTATTTATATATTTTGGAGTATATTTTTGTTTTTATGCAAATGCAAACATGAATATTACTTTCCTTCAAAGAAATTGTATAGAGGGAGAAATAACTTGTCAGTTATTACTGTTTTTGGACATTTCCCCCTCTTTATTGGAAAATACTGTCTTCTTTTAAAAGCAGCATCCAGTTTATAGACTATATTGTATCATATAATCCATAACCACTAATGCATAAGGACTGCACTGCAGCATACGTTCCTAGAAGTAAAGTTATCATTGCTGAGAGTACCATATCATCCTCTGGAGAAACTGAACCTCTAGAGAGTTAGTTCTACTTATAGTGCAAAACAGTGCTTCAAGTTAGAGTCAGCATATTTACTGATTCTATGCAGTAACCAGTGCTATCTATGTTTCTCCAGGTTTGTCAAAGTATACCTTTTCCTTTAATCAGGGTGGGCTCATAGTTGTCACAATTTGTGTACTAGGGGTGAGGGAAACTGTGGTGTTTCTCTCTAAAGAGCTCAAATTTTATCTGACCTGGTTTTCTTTTTCTTTCTCTCTTTCTTTCTTTCTTTTTTTCTTTTTTTTAATGGTGTTTCTTTGTTGCCCAGGCTGGAGTGCAGTGGCGCAAACTCAGCTCACTGCAACCTCCACCTCCCCAGTTCAAGAGATCCTCCTGCCTCAGCCTCCCGAGTAGCTGGGATTACAGGCATGCACCACCATGCCTGGCTAATTTTGTATTTTTAGTAGACACGGGATTTATCCATGTTGGTCAGGCTGGTCTCGAACTCCTGACCTCAGGTGAGCCACCCACCTCAGCCTTCCAAAGTGCTGGGATTACAGGCGTTAGCCAAGGCCCCCGGCCCTGTCTGACCTACTTTTCAAAAGCAAAAAGATGAGCAATAAAAGGGCAGTTAATTAGCAAGACCTCCTTCCCTAAGATCTCATTCTAAGGTTGGGAGATAGGACAACAGACAGGAAGAAAGATGTCAGAAAAATATATGTAGGAGAAAAATGTTCTTTTGGCAGGCCTAAGACATTTTCTATTAGAATGTGCTTAGGGTCTCTCCTAGCATCTTCAGATTGTTCTGTCATCACCACCCGTGTTTACTGAAACCCTCCTCCCTTTCCCAATGCCCCCACCCCGACTCCAAAAAAAACCACACACAAGGTTAAGCCTCCTATCCAGTGTGTCCTGGAAGTCCAAGGAAGTCGCAGATACCTCTGTGGTCTGGGGATCCTAGTCTTGGAATGGGAGTGGGATTGAGTTCTGGGACAAAGGTGAAATCAGACATGGTAAATCAAACACCTGGCCTGTGTTGTAGGCTAGTGGTTTAAATGTTAGGATTCTGGCATGATCCTGCTGTGGTTCAAATTTCTCATCTCTTTGACTTTCAGAAGTTAGTTTAATCCTTGTGTTTCATTTCCATTATTAGTAAAACCAGATATAATTGCAGTACTCATTATATCAGTGAGGTTAATGGGTATCCTTCCTTAAGCATAGTCTAGCACCATGTAAAATAATAAATATTAAGTAGGATTTTATTCTAATTATTCCTTTCCAGGAATTCTGGGGGCTATGTTTTACCTAGTATTAGTTCCATAGTGCGTGAAAGCTCAGACTTCCTTCTCCGGAAGCTACTTTCTAAACCCCTTTCACCTCACCTCTTTATTAACTAAGATATCCACCTCACCCTTTCCATCTTTTCCTGTCACCAACATTCTCTGTGCCTCTCTCGCTGTTCTGAGGCTACATCATATCCAGAAAATAATCATCCGTCATTTCATAGTAGATTGTAAGAGCATTGCTAGTGTTCACATGTTTAGTCACAGGATTTCATCCTCAATTCTGATACCTCCAGTTCGTGTTTGCTTATGAAACAGGGACTACCTGAGGGACTAATTATTTTGTTGCATGCTGTAGGCACTGATGTGTTTTTATTTAAATACATTGATTTTCTGGTTTGATCGTTGTTCTCATAGTTGTCACCAACTTGTGGGCTCATAGTTGTTACCAACTTGTGAAGTAGGGGTGAGAGAAACTGTGGTACTTCTCTCTAAATAGCTCGAATTTTGTCTGACCTAGTTTTCAAAAGAAAAAAAAATAAGCAATAACGGTGCAGTTAATTAGTAAGACCTCCTTACCTAAGATCTCATTCTAAGGTCTGGGAGATAGGACAACAGACAGGAAGAAGGGTGTCAGAAAAATACATTTAAGAGAGAAATGTTCGGCCAGGCACGGTGGCTCATGCCTATAATTCCAGCACTTTGGGAGGCCAAGGTGGGTGGATCACGAGGTGAAGAGATCGAGACCATCTTGAAATGCAAAAATTAGCTTGGCCTAGTGGCGTGCACCTGTAATCCCAGCTACTCCAGAGGCTAAGGCAGGAGAATCACTTGAACCAGGGAGGTGGAGGTTGCAGTGAGCTGAGATGGTGCCACTGCACTCCAGCCTGCTGACAGAGCAAGACTCCATCAAAAAAAAAAAAAGAGAGAGAGAGAGAGAATGAGAGAGAGAGAGGGAAATGTTCTTTTGGCAGGCCTAAGACCCTAATGTTAGAAAAAAAAAAAAGAAAAAAGAAAGTGGGGGGGGAAAGAGAAAAATCATTAAACATGAAAAATTGCCAGAAATTCCCTTGTGTACTTTTTCCCTTGCCTTTAACTTTCTGGTTTCTGAAATAGTAACTGATCAATGGGGTGTGATGAGGGAATAGATAGAGAATGAATAGCCCTGAATGCACTGATAATAGACTGCTTGCCAATAACCCCTGATAGAGTTTGAATACAATTCCACAATGGGGAAAAACATTTTTAAACATATGTCTGATGAAGTATTGACATCCAGAATAAATTAACACTTTCTAAAACTCATGATCAAAAAACAACCCATTTCAAAAATGGGCAGAGGACTTAAACAGACATTTCTCCAAAGAAAACATACAAATGGCCAATAAGCACATAGAAAAAAAATGTTCAGCATCACTAATTCTTAGGGAAATGCAAATCAAAACTACAATGAGATACAGGTACCACTGCACATCCACTAGGATGGCTACCATTAAAAAAAAAAAGATAACAAGATTTGGCAAGGATATAAGGAGTTTGGAACCCCTATGCATGCACTGTTGTAGGCATGTAAATTGGTACAGCCAATGTAGAAAACAGAAAGTTCCTCAACAAATTAAAAATAGAATTACTATATGACCCAGCAATTTCACTTTTGGACATATACTCAAAAGAATTAAAAGCATAGTCTCAGGAAGGTATGTGTACACCCAAGTTCATAGCAGCATTATGCATAATAGCAAAGATGAGGAAGCAACTCAAGTGTCCATTCACATATGAAAGGATAAGCAAGACGTGGTACATATAGACAGTCAGCCTTTAAAAAGAAGGAAATGCTAACATGCTACATCACAGGTGAACCTAAGGGACATTATGAAATAAGCCCAGTCACAAAAAGAAAATACTGTATGATTCCACCTACATGGTGTACTTGGGGTAGTGAATATCATAGACATAATGTAGAATGGTGATTTCCAGGGATGAGGGAGAGGAAAGTGGGGAGTTATTCTTTAAAGAATACAGAGTTTCACTTTTAGAAGATACAAAGAGTTGTGGAGATGGATGATGACAATGGTTGCAAAGCATTATGAACTGTATGCTTAATGGTTAAGATGGTAAATTTTAAGTGTATTTTACAGAGAGAGAGAACTGGGCACCCGCTCTTGCATGCTCTTCACTAACATCCCAAATGTTCATTAATAGATAGTCGCCCCTAAGCATTTTTCTCCTGGCAGAACAGAATTCCAATCTCTGCTCAGGACTAGCAATGTGATTTGGGGAAATGATAAACTTTCTATAAACCAGGGTCCCCCAGTACAGCTTTCTCTTCATAAGCCCAGTACTAATTTTTCTTTTCATGCCCTGAGCCAAACTATTTGACTCTGTATAGCTTTCACACGAGATGATAGAATTTGATATTAATGTCATTAATTCCATTTTCATATGCAATTTGCTTCTAGGGTTAATGTCACTAGCCAGGTTCCTAAGCTACGTGGAACACCCAGGACCAGAAGAATATAAAATTGCAAAAGCTGGTTGCTCCTGAGTCCAAGAGTTCCTGGTTTTCCTGGACACAAACGATAGCGCAGCCCTTTCTTCCCCATGTGCCAGAGGCCTGGGGTTCTGCAGAAGAGGCCTGGAGGACCCAGACACTGCAAGGCCTGCGCTCAGTATATTCTGGGCCCTGTCCTCTCACCTTCTATTTCTTGTATGGCCCCCATACTCATGCCAGCTATCCTAGAACAGTCAAGAGTTCAATTGTGACCTGCTTCCTCCCTCACCCTCTTCTCCCCAACCTCCACACCACACTTCTTCTTTGGGAAGATTTGTAAAAATTAAAGTTATTATATCCATGTAACTTTCTGTATTTCTTTTAAAATCCTTGTGCTACTAAGTTAAAGGGCTTTGACTCCTGGATCTAAAAAAGTCACCAACTCTGGCTAAATCTTAAACATTGACAGCAGTTGAAGCCTCATCTTCAGACCTAGGAGAAGAAGAAAATCAGAATAAGCTGCAGTCATGAGACATGGGTCCAGAAATTAAAACTATTCAACCCCTGTATTCCCAGAGACTATTGCAGAAGAAGTGGGTGTGTGAGCTTGTAAGGATCCATTTTAAGAGATAAAATTAGTTCAGAGTTTTTCTCTATAAATAAACAGTTGTGTTTGTTGTTGTTTTGAGACAGTCCAGCTATGTCATCCAGGCTGGAGTACAGTGGCATTATCCTGGCTACCTGCAACCTCTGCCCCGCAAGACGGGCACCTCAGCCTCCCAAGCAGCAGGGTCTATGGGGGTGCACCACCCTGCCTGGCTAATTTTTGTATTTTTATAGAGACAAGATTTCACCATGTTGCCCAAGCTGGTCTTGAACGCCTCAGCTCAAGATATCCTCCTGTCTAGGCCTTCCAAAGTGCTGAGTTTACAGGCTTGAGCCACCGTGCCCAGTCTATAAATTAAACATTAATATCAAAGGAACACTGATTCAAGACAAGCATGTGGGTCAGATTAACAATGTTTTCTTGGAGCATCAACACATTCCTTACTTAAAAATTATGAAAGATTATGAGAAGGTTTACAAAAATTATATCTTATGGTCAAGATGATAAAAATTTAGTATATTTGTCTGTAAAATGTAATTGACTTCATCCTGTCTTTATTAGGTTTTATTGTTTGGGAAAGTAAGTCTCAAAGAGTAAAAGTTTTTGCCTTTTTGTTTTTAAAATATTTGAGCTACCACTTTGACTAAATGAATGGCTTATTTTACAATGACCTGTGATGCTATTTTGTGATATTGTGTTTTCAAGCTTTGATGTTTCACAAACTTTCCAAAATCTAAATCTAAATTTAGGGTTTTGGTCTCACTAATTTTTCTGACATTACATCCCCTGAAATCCAAGGAGACATATTTGGCTTACTTGGTATAATAAAATTATCATTATCAAATATGAAATTATGTGTAACCTTATTTGACTTTTATTTATATAAATGTGTTATTAGTATGTGTCCCAAAATTGTATGAGATTCCTGTGATTCTGATATGTCTTAGAATATGTTATGAGAACTAATTATGATTATTAAATTGTTATGTACCATAGATGTAACCAAATTTCCTTGTCAAATGTGTCTTTAACCATGGTTGTTCTAATACTTTTGTCATCCACAATCATTGTTTTACTTTGATCCTTTTTTAGGGTGGTTTATAATCAGTTATAGAGCTCTGAGGACTACTTTTTCTTTTTCTTTTGCTGTTTTTTTATGAGACTGGGTCTCGCTCTATCACCCAGTCTGCAATGCAGTGGCATCACTGCTCACTTCGGCCTCAGTCTCCTAGGCTCAAACAATCCTCCCACCTCAGTCTCCCAAGTAGCTGAGACTACAGGCGCACACCACACACCCAGCTAATTTTTAAAATTTTTGTAGAGATGGAGTCTCCCTATGTTACCCAGGCTGGTTTCAAACTCCTGGGTCAAGCAATCCTGCCCCCTCAGCCTCTCAAACTGCTGGGATTACAGGCATGAGCCACCACACCCAGTCTTTTAATACATTGTCTCTTCATTAACAAATACTAAGTGTCTATATTGTGCTACAAAGTGACCAAGTTCCAGAGATAAGTGATCAACAAGCAGAAATGGACTTGCCCATAAAGTGTTTGACACAATCAGGGGCTGAAAAAAAACAAAGCAGTAAGCATGACAACAAATAAATAAGACAGTGTTTATGTGATAAATACTATCAAGAAACCTAACGCAAGTTAGATGGAAAAGTAACTAAAAGGATGCCATATTAGCTAGTGTAGTAAAAACAGAATTATCAGAGATACCTCCACACTTTGATATGAATAATGCAATGAACAAAGCAAAGAAAAAAAAAATCTGGGCCAGGTGCAGTGCTCACACCTGTAATCCTAGCATTTTGGGAGGCCAAGATGGGCAGATCACTTGAGGCCAGGAGTTTGAGACCAGCCTGGCAAACATGATGGAAACTCATCTCTACTAAAAGTACAAATAAATTAGCTGGGCATGGTGGCCTGCAACTATAATGCCAGCTACTCAATAGGCTGAGGTGGGAGAATTGTTTGAATATGGGAAGTGGAGGTTGCAGTGAGCCAAGATCACACCACTGCACTCCAGCCTGGGCAACAGAGCAAGATCCTGTCTCAAAAAGAAGGAAAAAATCTAAAGGTGGAGTTACCTTCATGAGAGAATATAAAGTACAAAGATTCTAAGACTAGAACAATTTTATTATGGGCTGGGTATAGTGGTTCACACCAGTTATCCCAGCACTATGGGAGACTGAGGCAGGAGGATCACTTGAGGCTAGAATCCCAAAACCAGCCCAAGAAACATGGTGAAACCCCATCTCTATACATATAAAAAATATTTTTAATTAGCTGGATGTCGTGGTGTCCGCCTGTAGTGCCAGCCACTCAGGAGGCTGAGGCAAAAGGATTGCTTGAGCCCAGGAGTTGGAGGTTGAAGTGAGCTATTATGGTACCACTGAATTCTAGCCTGAGCTACAGAGTGAGACCCAGTCTCTAAAATTTAAGGGAAAAAAAAAAAAAAAAAAAGTTGGCTGGGCGTGGTGGCTCACACCTGTATTCCCAGCACTTTGGGAGGCTGAGGCGGGCAGATCACAAGGTCTGGAGTTTGAGATCAGCCTGGCCAACATGGTGAAACCCAGTCGCTACCAAAAATACAAAAAATTAGCCAGGTGTGGTGGCAGGCACCTGTGATCCCAGCTACTCAGGAGGCTGAGGCAGGAGAATCACTTGAAACCAGAAGGCAGAGATTGCAGTGAGCCAAGATCACGTTATTGCACTCCAGCCTGGGTGACGGGGCAAGACTCCGTCTCAAAAAAAAAAAAAAATTATTACAGCCATGGGCACAGAGAAAGCAAATAATAGCTATCACTGACCTAAGTGGGAGGTATCTAGACTAAAAGAATCTTGTAGTCTTCTGCACAAGCTGGCCTACTGGCTTCCAGGCAAACGTGATACATAATTAGATAAAGATGGAAGTTTTGATTTAGCTTTGATTGAATTGTTTAATTACAGTGTTTACTAATGTCTGACAGCAACGTCTTTTAGAGAACCAGTTTGTAATGTGGTTCAGAAAATCATTCCCTGACATTCAGCCTAAAATCTGTGTCTACACTTTTCTACCAGATTTTAAGTGACTTTTATCCCATAATAAATCTTTTTATGCTTATACTATTTGAGAGTGTTTTGTTTCTTTTCCTACACACCATGTAAAAATGCAACAGTAACATCACATCTAATATGGTGAGTCTTAATCCATAGCTGAGCTGTTGGAATTTAGATTAGTCCTTCTAAAGGTAAAGCTGAATCTCAAGTTTGTACAACGTAGCAATTTATCCAAGGCATGGGACAAATACTATGTAGACATTTCTTAAAAGTACCCCTAGAATGAGCTGAAGGTCTCTCAGCAGATAGCAAGATACTATTGTAAGGTGTTCTCTATTTGAAGAAAGAAAGGAATTAATCCTGCTTCCCCCTGCTCTGCTGAAAATGTATGAGATGAGGCCTAACTTTGTGGTTCTCAGGCTACCTTATATGCATGTTAATGCCAACTCAATACTAGTATTCCCTCTCTCTTCTATTTGGTACACTGGGGTCTTTTGTTGTGAGAATTGTGTTATCTCTTCAACAGTGGATATATTCCATCCTTTTATTCCTCCTAAGTGGACTGTGCTGAGAAGCAGTTATTCATATGGCCTCTCAGAAGATGGTTCGTAAGATAGACAAATCAGTGGTGTTCAGAGTGGGTTCAAATTTGTGGAATCAGTGTTCATACAGGAAGTAGGGGATTTTCTTTATGAGAGAATTACAAAAATGTTTTAGGACAAATGTTTTACAAACTCTTTGGAAGTTTGCCTTAAAGTTAAACTTTATTGGTTTGATAGTAAAGTCACCTCTGGTCATGCTTGATACAAGATTGGGCAACTAGGAAGCATAGCATTGAATATACTCGTCCCTGCCCCTCTCCTCTTTCTTCTCACTCCCACTATGTAAGGACCACTCGTTAATAAAGCAATCTCACACGAGTGTTTATTTCAGCAATATTTTGAGGGGAAAGCCAAACAAATAAAATATGTCTCTCTGCTCACCTCATATACCTCAGTGCTTTTCCCCTGCTGTTGGAATACTCAAAAATTTACTCTGTACTAAAATTTGTTTCAGAGTCTTTTCAAAAATAGAACTGACTGAGGCCAATCTTGACTGCTGACATGCTGCAAATGAAACACGTTTCCTGTATTTGAAAAGTCTTTGGCTGAGTGGGACAACAACATACACAGAAAGGCCTTTTTAAATATTAGCAAATTTAAGTATTTATATGCACATTTCATTCATCACTCTAGTGCCCCTCCTCAGTTTTTTCATCAGGGAATATTTCTCAAAATTACAGGGCAAAATCATAATATGTTAGCATTCTGAATCAAGTAATATACTTTAAAAAATGCATCATAATCTAATGGAGCTTATCAGGAACTCGACTTGGGTCTGTTATTTGAAAATCAATCTGTTATTGTCCACATTAGCAGTAGAAAAAATACATGATAATCTCTGAAGATACAAAAAAAACTTTTTGAAAATTCAACTCAGTTTTATTATTAATATAAAAATCATCATAGCAAATTGAAAAAGAGAGTTCCCTTAATTTGATAAAGCATATCTATAAGAAGTGTACACCTAACATCTCACCTAATTGCAAAATATTGAAAAATGCCAATTTCTTACCGAAATTTTAAAAAAACTGCCAATAACTGGATCCATTCTCTCACCCCCTGCCCCACCCTATTACCGCCTGATCCAATAAAAACCCAAGGGCTTTCAATAGG